TCACTTAAAAGCTGCACTGTTTGCCTGGCTTTGTTTCTGCATGTACGTGTTCACAAATAAGAGGTGAGGGTCAGGCGACAGTGTCAGATCAGAGGTCTCTAAGTCTGAGATTCGAGTCCTCTTTGTTTTTATCTTCTTACGTAGTTTCTCTGTATTATAGTAAGGTGCCTTCTAATGCTGCCTTATTATATAAGTTAAATTAGAAAGAAGTGTAAAGCTATAATGAATTGTCAGAAAGTGTTGTCTTACATAATTTACATGTGTAAGGCAATAGGTCACGATACTGGGGGGACTAAAACAGTGCCTGACCGTAAAGACCGACCTCAGGATACCAACGTTTTAGAATAGGTAAGTCATTCGCGTAAACCTACTGCAGAGCATTTTCTGTTTCATGCAAGTAGGGTAGTACACTACCAGAGATGGGTCTCCCCCAGTTTTGAACTGCTTGTAATGGAGAATGTCAGTTATTTGGGTAAAAGTAGATAATGGGATAATGGACGCCCCCACCACGAAACCAGGCATCGTTCCGCACCCTATTCTCTTACTGCCCGTCCCCTTTTTGAAGAAAACAACAGCCATCATTTATATCATCCGGTAATAATCTAGAGAACGTTGCTAATAGACAGGATGCTTCTGGTTTTTAATAACTGTGTCATGCCATTACCTGGAATTGTTTTACCTGAGTTTCATTTAAACATTTAAATTTATAATCTCATGAATGTCATAAATGTTTATGAAATCAGAATCCAAATACAGCCCATACTTTGTAATTATTTGGTCTTTCCTTAAGCTGTTTTTTCTTAAATTCTTTCTCAAGCTTTTAAGCTTTTTAAAAACTTTGCCATGCAAATGTTGAAGAAACTCTAGAACTTCTCAGGCTGGAGTTTGCGCGTATTCTTCAGCCGTGTGATGTAAAACGTCCCTGTGTCCCCTGCCTTGCCTGTGAATGACTGGTGTCAGAGCTCCAAGCCTGCTTAATACGGAGCCCTTGCGGATTTGCAGTGGCATCTGAGTGCAGTGGGAGCTGCTCTGGGCCTGTGGCGCACTCCAGATCCCTTGAGCGTGTGTGTGTGCGTGTGCGTGTGCGTGCGGGTGCGTGTGTGCGTGCGTGTGTGTGTGTGTGTGTGTGTGTGTTTTCCTCTGCTAGGAGGTCAGGATGCCGTGTGTTTTCTGACGTTAGCATCTGATGGCAGTCAGTGGCTGGGTCTCAGATCATTAAAGGATGCAGGATGCAGGTTCGGGGGGGGGGTGTCCCGTTTTTTTTTTACTTAGAGAAAAAAAGCAAAACAGAAAAAAAGGGTAGAAATAATACAGAATTTCAAGAAAAAATAATAACACTAAGAAATCACTAATTGATAAATTACATATTGTTAGCTTAGAAGTACTTGTTCAAGTTACAAAATCAAAGCATAAAAAATGGACCAACAGTGATAGTACAGACTGTTGTTTGACTAACAAAAACAGTATGGCTATCTGTCTTGCACACTTACACATACGTTCACTTACACCCTTTAGAGCACCTTTCTTCCCTTTCATTATTACAGTGGGGCATCCCCGCTTAGGAGGAGTGTGAGCCCTGCAGGCTCTCGGGCGGGTAGCACTGAGCTTTGGCATTTCTAAACATTTGATAAGTGAAGAAAGAGGGAGAAAGGACTTTTTGTTGTTTTAAGCAGAAATTGGAAAAATGGTGTGTTGGCTGTACATCAGGATAAAGGAAATTAAGTTAGTGAGGATGTAGCTCCTGAGGGTCAGGACAGAGGAGGACCCCTTTGGAAGGAAGAGCGCTGCAGTGCTGCAGTGGTGGCTGCCTGTGGTCGCCCTTTATCCTTTCCTTCCTCCCTCCCTCCCGTGCTTCTCCACCTTCTCCACCTAGGCAGTTGACGTGCTCAGTTTTGTTTGCTGGTCAGCGGTAGGAGTGGGACCTGTGCTGTTCTCCTCTCCCTTGTAAGTACAGAACAGGAACACTGTCTTGCTCTGGATGCAGTAGCTGGAGCTGTTGGGTTGAAAGGAAGCAGAAAAGGGCCAGCAGAATCAAGGGGAAAGGAAACTGGATCTCCCAAGCCATGCTCGAGGTCCAGCCTGTATACCTCTTCATTTACTTTGCTTAAGCCAACTTCATAGAGGTTTAATTTGCACGTAGTAAAAGGCACCCATTGTGAGGTTATACTTGGATGAATTGTGATAGACATGCACACCCATGTAACACCCAGTCGAGCTGTAGGCCACCTCTACCCCTTGCACGCACAGTCTTTCACACCCTGGCATGTCAGTCACCCTCCCCTCCCACTCCAGATGCCCACTAATCTGACTTCTGCCACTGTAGATCAGTTCTTCCTGTTGTGAAACTTGTAACAGAGCCGTGTGGTCCGAAATCATCTGGCCTCTTGTGCTCTCTGTTTTTGAAAGTCCTCGTTCTGATACATTCTCTCTCGCCTAGTATGTGTTCTTGATGAGAAGCTGCTGTTGAAAGTCATGCCCTCCTTTTTGCTCCCACCAGCAGGCTTGAGGGCTGAAGTGGAAGCCTGTTTCAAGCAAGGCATTGTCAGCCAGCTGGGAATGGCACTGCCTGCAGGGTACCAAGGTGCTCCTCGAGCCACTTCTCACGCTTTCGGGTCAGAAAGGCCTGCACTCAGCTTGCGGTATGTAAGTCCTAGGGCCCAGTGGTAGTTCTTGGCCTGGCCTGGTGGATTCTTGCCTGACATACAGTAGCTGAGCCTCCAGCCTGAAGTGAGGACCGAGATACACAGGAAGCTCCCGTGTTTTGCTTTGGAGGGTCCACCCTTCCTGGTACTCTGAGCCTTTCTGCTGCCTCAGCCGCTATCTTCTTGGTCTCTGCCTGAGCCTGCAAGATCCCCGCACTCTGCAGGCTCCCCCGTGCAAGGAGTTCGCAGGAGCTCAAGGCCGGAAGCTAGTGCAAGCGCAGGGCTCTGTTACTCACTGCTGTCTCCTTGGAACCGCAGTCTGTGGGCCATCGTCCTGGGTCTGCATCGGTGTAATGTCTTCCACAGACTGTAGAATGAGCTGCCTAGTGCGGGGAATCACGAGCTCTCCCTAAAGAAATACAGTGGTGCCAAATCCAGACACAGGGAGCTGACTCTTTCCTGGGAATGAAACTTCAGAAGGAAAGGCAGGATTGTGGAAGGCTTGGCAAGCCCTGTTAGGATTTTGGATTTTTTTTTCCTTGAATACAGTAAAGTGGGAACAGGCTTCCTGTGTGTGTGTGTGTGTGTGTGTGCGCGCGCGCATCTCATAATTGGCCTTACTGCAGTAGTGGAAAGATATTGTAGGGTGCCAAGCATGTTAATTCCTTGGAGCTGACTGTTCCTTAACTATTGGTATTTTCTCCCAAACTGGGATAGCTGTGGCAGGTGGATTTTAATGAGAAGTAAGCACTCTCTTTTATAAAGAAGAACCATAGTCATACTTTAATCCTTTCTTTTTCAAAATAAGAAACAGCCAGGTGTAGTGGCACAGGGTTGCAGTTCTGGCACCTGGGAGGCTGAGACAGGAAGATCCTAAGTTTAAGCCCAGCCTGGGAAATTAGCAAGACCTTGTCTCTGAATAAAGAAAGTAAAAGGGTCATGGATAAGTAATAGTTCATTGTGAAGGCCCTGTGCTCAGTCCCCAGTACCAGAAACAATGTAACGTAAATTTCTTAATGCTGTGGGATTTGTATAGAATCTGAATTCTTTGACTTCTCAATGCCATGGAAATCAGTACAGAAGCTGAATTCTTTTAAAAAATAAGGAGAACGAATGTTAGTGACTGTGGATTTGAAGTTCAGTCCATCTAGTCACTAGGTCTCTGAAACAGTTGCCCAGCACCTAGGGGCTTTGGCTTTCTGGTCTGCCACTGCTTTAAGGAGCTGCTGGGGTGGGGGGTGTTTGAAAAGCACTGAGGAGGATTTGGCTGGCAGCTGTCCCTTACAATGCAGGTCAGTGCAGGTGTGGTTGTTAGTCCTGAAAAGCTTTGGTGACAGTCTAAAAAGGGTGTAAATAGCAGAGGACCAAAAGAAAAATCAACAGGGATGCAGAGATCCTAAATTTAAACCCTCAGAAATACAGTAGTTTAATTAGGGCTTGTGACTAAATATCGGGGAGCTGGGGCTCTAGTCCAAGGAGTCCAGTACCAGAACTCACTGCCCTCCTCTGTAGCTCCTTTCCCAGGCAGCATTTCCCTCTGGCAGGCCTCTCCTGGGTTGCAGTCAAGACTAGGAGGAGAGAAACAAATGATCAGTCAGTCGCCTTTCAGTAGACAGGGGCATGGAGTGCATTTCTAAGTTGCAGTTTCCTTGAGGTAGTAATGAAGCTTGTGCTTGAAAAATTGCTGTTTATGAGTTTTCTGCTAATCATCTGATTTGTTTACTAGTTAGCTGCTGAAGTGTGGTTATAGAAATACATTTCATAGGTCTTCTGTCCCTGAGTGTCACTCTGGGTGCAGGGCGTCTGTGAGGATCTCTAAAAGAGTAAGAGTCCGGTGCTGGTGCACACTTCTGCGTCTGAAGTCTGCTTTCCCCAGAGGCTTGGAGAGGGGCCCTCCGGAGAATGTCGTTTGCTTTCGGCTATCTGCCGAGAGTGTGGAAGCAAATGTGTTATGTAAGCGTCATCTTTATGAAAGTTTTTTCAGAATGACAGTACACTTGAATTAAGTAACCCACTATTTTAAGTGATACTTGTAATCTGAAATGTAGCAGAACAATTAAAAGATAGTTTTCAGTGTTAACAGACATTATCATTTTTTAAAACTTCTGAATATGAAAAAAAAAACTTCTGAATATGATTGTGCTTAAATTAGGAAAAATGTATGGGAAATCCATGTATCATTATGTTTTAAGGTATTATCATTAAGATAATATTAAAATCATTAATATTTTGCTGAGATAATGTCTTATAAAATTTAGCATAATCGTCTATCAGGTTTCTATTTATCCAAAATAGTGGGGAATTTAACTATATTCTGTTCTTATTTTTTCCTTTTTTATATGAAAAAAAACTTTCAAAAATTATAACAAATTCAATCATTGTTGAAGTATAAAAAACAAATCTTTCTAATCCCAGTTAGTCTTTCTCCAGTTTGTGTGTATATGTAAGCTCAGGGCTTACATATGAATGCATGTCTGTGTCCAGCACACATGTATGACTTACATAGATACACACCTGTAGTAAACTGTACATACATGATTTCAAAGATAAACTAGGTCATACTCTAATGCTACTCTGGAATATTTTTAATGCAATATTCTCATCTACCAAACTTAGTGCATGTAAACTTGTTTCATAGTTTATTAAAGTGTTTTGTTAAGACTGCTTCATTTACTCGTGCACGTGTTGGTGTAGATTGAGCGCCACTGTTTTCTATTATAAAGAGTTCCTATGAGCACAGGCATCATCTCTGGGTTAGGGGAGAGGAGGCGTGGGGAAGTTAGACAGCCTGCCCCACATTGCTCAGTAAGTGGTGCAGGCGGTGTGAGCATCCTGGCAGTCATTCCAGAAGCACGGACGCAAATGCTGCTTTATACTACTTCTTAGTTTCTTCTGCCTATCTTTACTCTGCTTTCTGAATTGGAAAAAAATTTCATATCTAAAATACACATCATAAAACTAGTTGCATGTGCTACGATAAGGATATTAGACACTTTTAGGCAGAATTCCTACTTGTGGGATGCAGCGGCCCTGCATCTGCTTGGCAAGCGCAGGGTCCTGAGTTTGATTTCCAGTACCAAAACAGAAACAGTCCCTTTGGTAGGATGAAATACTCACAACACCTGTGCTGTAAAGGAGGCAACGATGTGTTTGGCTCCTGGTAGCCGAGGTTTCAGTGCAGGGGATGGGGGCTGGTTCCAGGGTGGATGGCAAGAGGAAGGCTGCGGTGGAGGTGGAGAAGCGCCATCCCTGGGAAGCACGGTGCGAGAGGGAGCAGGGAGTCAGAGCCTGGACCGCCTCCTACCAGCACCTTCAGCTGGCTGGTGGCTCCCTGGTGGGCCAGGCAATACCTGGGGGCCACTTGTGAAGGTGACACGGAAGCCTCAGTGTCACGAATGGCACAGCGTGTTGTCATGGCTGCGCAGAACGAGAAGTAGGAGGTTTAAGCCCAAGCTGTGTCGTGCACCCAGATGATTGAGAACAGGAGAGGACTTGCTGGCTCCTGCTTCGGTGTCTGGGGTGCATGCACCCCCGTGCATCCACTGCTGTTTCGTACTTGTGAGTTGCAAGGGCTGAAGCAATTTATCATGGCAAACTTCAGGAGGTATTGCATTGAATCTGCTTCTCACTGTGATTTTGTTACCTGTTTTTAGGCACATAGCATGGTGGAGAGATGGATGTGTGCTTTCTGGTAGTTTCAGGTCTCGTGTGTAGTGTTTAACAGTGCTGGGGAAAAGGTGTGCCTGGTGTGGTGTCAGCACACCGTGCTTGAGTAACTCTGATCGGGTTTATTTATAGAGTTAGTATGGCTTACACACCTATTTCACCTTACTACTCTGTCATTATTGATTGAGAGAAACAGCAGTGCTTTTTATTTTGAAGGATGTAGCTATTAGCAAAAAATGTGGTTTTGCTATTGTTACTTGATTCTGTAGTGAGTGTAGAGTTACAGAAATGAACGCCCACTCCGGGCAATTGCCAGGCACTGTAGGCGTGACTTCGCCGCCCTCACCCCGGCCTCAGTGCAGGGAGCCACCTGCAGCCCTCCAGCAGTCAGAAATGATGTCTGGAGGACACGTCCTTAGTTAGAGCTGTGCCGTTCGCTTTGCCTCCAGCCACCTAAGAGAACCTTGCCCAGGCCTCCCAGTTCCTTCTGACCTGCTTCCTTCCCGCCCACCCTGGGGAGAATTCCTTCTGTGTGTGTGGTGCCCGCCAGCGGTGGTGATGCCACATCCAGCCAGCAGGCTAGAGTCACAGTCTCAGGAAAGAGCACAGTAGAGGGAAGTGATTTACAGTAAAAGATGAGAGTACCTGGGGGCTGGAGGTTTAGCTCAGCGGCATCAGCGCCTGCCTTGCAAGCAGGCAGTCGTGAGTTCGATCCCTGGTACCAAAAAAAGGAAAAAGACAAAAAAAAAAAAAAAAGATGAGAGTACCTGAAGGGACACTGCTCACATTCATCTAGGCAGTGAGTTAAACATCCGCAGTACGTTAAATGCTGGTCTGTTAGAACCACACTTTCATTTAATGAGGGCTGCATTTAGTAAGTTATTTGCATGTTTTTGTGTGCCCAGCTCTGGAGTGAGGTATAGAAAACCAAGGGCTTCTAAACTAGGGTACCACTCTCATTGCTCTTAAACTGTTAGAGTTGGTGAGAAAAGCTGAAAGATTTAGGAAACAGTAACACAAGACATTATTGAAAGAACCAGTATCAGCATATGTGACCCTCCAAGTCCTTACACTATAGCTCTGGCTGATGGTACTTGGTGTAAGAGAAATGCTTTGGTGTTTTGTTTTGCTTTGTTTTGTTTTGATTACTTACCATTAACCAGAACTGTAGGCATAGCCCAGCCTTAGAGAAAAAGGCACTGGGACACCATCAGCTTTCACCAGTACCACCGAAAGAACACAGTGCCCAGGATGCCGTGCCCTCCCCTTCCCTGGCTCACCCTGGACTCTTTTCACCTCACACACTCCTGGGCAGCTGCCTCGCCCTCTGCCCTCTGCCCTTTGCCCTCTTCCCTCTGCCCTCTGCCCTCTGCCCTCTGCCCAGCAGCCGCAGCTGGGCCATGGTCATGGAGAGACTGAAACCATAGCAAATGCTCAAAGCAGTGACCTGCTGGGACCGGGCTCCTGGGGCTGGCGGGCGGGAAGAGAACTCAGATACCGCTAGGTGTCACCCAGAGCAGCCACAGAAGAACAAAAGGGAAGAAACTGGAGAGAGGAGTTGGGAAAGAGAAAGGAAAGTCAGAACTTGGAAAGAGTGGGTTCTGAAACCGGCTTGACCAGGAATCCAGTGATGGAAGACAGTCAGGAGCTCCTAGGTGGAGAAGGTAAGATCTCTGAGGAGGAGAGTGCTGGTAGAGAGCTTCTTCCCCTCCAGGGAGTCCATTGGGTTCCTCTTTGATTACTGGTTGGTGGTACTTTCTGGTGTTAATCACTCCGTGTATTTGACCTTTAACACTGCGTTGTGATTTTCAAAATGTTTCCTTTGTTTAGTTTTTACTACTCCTGTTACGAATTAGGGCTTCCTAGTATTTTAAAGATTATTCCAGAAATTGTAGTTTCTGAGTATTAAATGTAGTTCTCCCTACCTGTTTGACTTTTAAAGAAGGATCTGAAAGTTTTTGTAAGTTTTATCTTGGAAATTAGTTTATTCATTATGTTTAATTTTAGGAAGTGGCGCTCTTGCAGAACATTCTGAAAATGTGCGTATTTCAGGAGTGTCAGCTGGTAAGTCATTTTTTGCAATGTTTAAATTTCATGCATGACTTATATGGTAAATATAGAAGCCACCTGGTATCTTACAAAGTGATATTTGGCTGTAAGAACTGTTCTATTACTGCTTTTCACAGCATGTAATAAGGAATGAAGTAACTGGAACAGGAGAAACTCTCATAAGATAAAAGCGATACTCGCATGCCCTTGGATTGATTATACTTTTTCAAACATTCTGCATAATTATTTCTTCATATAAACATTAAACCAGGAGAAGGGTTAAGCACAAGTTCAATTAGTATTTCCTTTCCACACAGTTATGTGAAATGAAATTTACTGAAATGTAATTTTGAATGCTATCCCTGGGTGTCAGAACTTGGAAATTAAGCATCTCGTGTGATTTTTAGATTAGAGTACTGCTCTACATAAAACTGTTGTACTTGAGTGCGCAATTTATCTGCCACTAAAAGCAAGCCAAGGACATTCTGGTGCCTATGAAATTCAAAAACTCATTGAGGTAAATGCATTTTTCATTCATTTTTGCTTTTTTAATTTAATTACTTACCGGTCCTTTTCCAATTAAATTTTCACTCTTAGGTGACCTCCACCTACAACTCTGTTACCATATTTGTTGTTAGCTACAGTTACTGGAAGATGAGAAAATACTTTTGCATGTGCTGAAATAGTTTGTTACTATCAATGACTAATTATTAACAGTTTCCCTGTGTTACATTTTATGTGGTTAAAAATCACACTTAGTGTATTTATCAATTACTGACTTGATTACAATCTTAATACTTGACTTTTCCTCACCCCTATTCTGTGCCACGCACTGCGAGGGTCAGGTGCACTTACAAACACATCAGCAGGCCCGGCTCATCTGCAAAGGTGCCCAGTGCCTCTGTAGCCTGCAGTAACGCTTTCTGGTTGGTTTTCATGCAAATGGTATGTAATTCTATGGCTCAGGTAAAACTATGGTTATTCTGAAGACGACCTTGTGTCCTTTTTACTTTCTGTTTTGGGTAAGGAATGAGAACTGGGGTACTTTTCCAAGTTACAACTATCAAGTAAGAATGTGTAAGCACATTTTAATTTATACAACTAAGTGGTTATTGTCTGATTCAGAGACTTTTCAAGATTTTTTGGTCTCAGGGCCAAAATTGTGGGGCACTCTTAGTCTGAGGGCTGCATGGCAGAAACATTGTGAGCAGCGTAAAGAGACAGGCACTAATTTCCTCCCTGTTCAGGAGGCTCAAGTGCAGGCAGGGAGGTCCCCAGGAGCCTGGCCTGGAGGGAGGGGCTCCTCTGGGCCTAGCTGGCCTTTCCTGAGCAGCAGTCTCTCCCTGTTCCCATGGGGACGCTGGTCCCCGGGGTGGGAGCCCCACTCTGGTGCATCCTCAGTTACCTCCTTATTCTGGGCCTATTCAATAGCACTTCCCGTCACATTGGGACTTAGGCCTGCAGCATGTGAGTCTTGAGACATGAATTAGTCCATGACTGGAACCTGAGTTTCTGTGTTCCTAGGTGACCCTGCCACATTTCCTGCATGAAGTCCTGAGCTAAACCATGCACACTTAAAGTGATTATCCATGTTAGTAGATTAGTATCACCCCTGTTCATACCTTTTTTTTTGCTTTTTCTTTTTCCCTTCTCCTGTTTTAAATATTGTTTATTTATTTTAAAAAAGAAATAAAGCTGAGAAATTATTTAAAAAGTTACAAGTTCATTGTAAAGTAGCAGTAGTGAACAGTTGCAGGTTACATCAGTAGCATAGTTTTATGAAATATGTTTTTCAAAACAAAAACACCATTAAATGATGTCATCATTTAGAATTTTATAGTCTTTAATCTAGAAAATAGCTGGATTCTCATCTATTTCTACAGTACTTTGCAATGTGTTTTGTTTGATGTATATAAAGATGATCCAGCTGCTGTGTAATTGGAAAAGAAAGAAGTGTTTTGATAATTTATTCCAGGTATTTGTGAGTACTATATTCAACAAGTAGTAATTAATAGTTTCGTTGCAGAGTAGAATCTGAAACCAGATCAGTGAATTTTTTTGTACTCTGTTACACTAGAACTCAGTTGGCCTATTTTCTTCTTGGGTATGATTTTATAATATGCATTAATCATTTGCAAAATACTAATTGCTGAGTCAGGCGGATTAACACGGGCTTTGCAAAGTAGTAGATGTTAGATTCGGTATCTGCTCAAATTCCTAATTTTGCATCCACTCAAGATTCGATTGTGGTTTTATCTAGTTGCTTGAGACTAAACTACTAGGCTCTTGTTGAACATTGATACAACTCTTAAATGAATTCCTATTTAACAACCAGCAGACATTCACTTTCAGTTGTATAAAAGGTGTTTTACAACTTTAAACTTTCATCCCTGACTCATGAATTTCAGACATCTTTTTAGAAATATGTATTAGTTTGCTAGGGCTTCGTAACCGAGCACTACAGGAAAAGCAGCTGTATTTGTTCACGGTCCTGGAAACTGGAAATGCAAGGCCGGGCTGCCAGTCTTGGCCTTCTCTTCCCTGGAGCTGGCGTCTGCTTACTCTGCTTCCCCCTGACCTTCTCTCTTACTTGTGTTCTGATCTCTCCATTAGGGACCCATCCTTCTGAAGGAGGGCCCACCAGGATGGCCTCATTTTAACCTAATTTCCCTTTAAAAACTCCACCAAGAGTTACGTGGCAAAGTGCTGGTTCTGAGGGTAGCACAGTTGTGTAGCGTCATTCGGTGGAGTAGAGTGATAGGGCTCCATGCAGGCTGTGACTCAGTGATAGCCCGCTTTCTAGCAGAGGTGGAAGGTTTTCCCAGTTCAAACCCACCACTGGGAAGCGAAATAAAATAAGACTGCATTTAAGAGGTTGCTGACGCCTCACTTGTGTTTTTTCTTTGGCTGGTGTGGAACTATAAGCATAATATTTAATATGGCACTGCTGAATTATCCCTTATGTGAAATGCAAGATTTTTGAATGTTTTTGAACTTTACAGTTGTCTTGGTTACTTTTCTCTCCTCCCTGAGATAAAATACCTGACACTCAAAATTAGGGAAGAAAAGGTTTGTTTAGCTTACAGTTTTTGGAGGCTTCAGTCCATCCTTGCTGGCTCCAAGGCAGTGTGGAGTGGCACTGGGGCAACACTTGAAGGCAGCAGCCAGAACAAAAGCGGGGAGCCAAGCCTCTTTTCCTTCCTTACATTGCACACAGCCCAACAAAAAGAACCCCCATCCCCCGGCAGGTGTGGCACTCAAAATCTCCCTGCCCTCCTTTGCACAGGCTGAGGATATTTACAAAGTAAGGACCCTCACTCCCTGCTGAGTCTCTTAGTTAAACTTCTGAACTTAAGTTGACACAGTGCATCAACCATAACAACAATATTAACATAAACTTCACTGATTATCTTTGATCCAAAAATCTGAAATTTAACATGCTTTAAATACATCTTTAAATTTTATTTATTTATTTTTGGTACTGGGGATCTAACTCATGACCTCGTGCTTGCCAAGCAGGTGCATGTGTGGCTGAACTAAATCCTCAACCCTGAAGACAAAATTTTTTGAGAATCATGTCAGCACTGAAAAACATTTCCATTTTGGAGTATTTTGGATGTGAGCTTTATAAGCTTTCTGAAATCCTTCCGTTGCCTGGAAAAGTGAGGTCCCTTCAACATCTCAAGGCTTATGGGAGGGTGCCTGTGTGGGGTCCTCATTCCTGTGGACCCAGCCAGCCTGGGAGCCGCCAGCGGCCTGGGCTTTGCTCTCCTGGCCTGCTTCCTGCAGGGCGCAGAGTCCCAAGGCTCTGACCTGCGCCTCAGGAAGTTTGCTGAAGGTCGCTTACCTCTAAATCAATGGGTTGTCCAGACCTAGGCATTTTGAGAGTGAGGGTGTGCTGTTTCTAAATGACATTTTCACCAGGACAAAACCAGGGGTATTTTAGGCAGTTGAGCGGTAGTCGCACCTGTGAGAACACTTGCCCAGGACTTTGCGTCAAGAAGGGTGGGATAGTACTAAGCCTTTTGTTATATTTATTTACTCTGGCAAGTTTTGGGATAATTAGTAATTTCTGATTGATTATATTTTTTGGGTTTTGAAACACATTCTGTTCTCTTTGCTCTTGTTTCCTTCCTCCTTAAATCTTTGCCAAGAAAAAGAAGACTTACCTTCTTATTGTTATGCTACAGGATGGCATAAGAAATCTTAAATTATCAAAAATGGCATTTAGTTGCATAATGGGAAAGAACTATTGAATTAAATCGTATTTTTAATATTTTTTCCTTTATAACTTTTTGTGGGCCAGATTTCAGATCCCTTTTCACAAGAGAGAAATGAGAAAACTCAAATGATATTTTTGTAAATATCATTTGTAAAAATCATAAAATTATAGAAACAGTTTATGTATACGGGAGAGTGGGATGGTTATTTTAATGTTTAAAAATCTAAATTACATATTGTTTTAATGTTCTAGATTTTTTAAATAGTTAAATTATTGCTTATATGCTACATGGAATGACACATTTTAGTTCAGGTTGATTTATAACAAGACTGTTGCACACATTAACAGATACATTTTATTTACTCTGTAATCTGTATTGACTTGAATCAGTATTTGATAATGCTCCCCCTACCCTTGATTACTTATAAATAACATTTATTTGTTTTTACAAATTCTGTTTATACATTATAAGAGTTTAAAACATTTAGAGACAATTAGATATTGTAAAAATGAAAGGGAAGGAAAGTGCTCTAAAGGATGCAACTGAATGTATAGGTGTGTAAGATAGATGACCATATCACTAAATTTTTATTGGATCATTGAACAGAATAGTTTGGACTGTCAGTGTTTGAGTGTTTAATGACTTTTTATGCTCTGATTTTGTAACATGAACAACTATTTCTAAGATGACAATATGTAATGTATCGACTAGCAGTTTCTTAGTGTTAAGTTCCTTTTTGAATTCTGTATTATTTTACATTTTTGTCTATATTTTTTCTTTCTTTAAATAAAT